AAACCAATAAGGGAAGCACATAGACTGTAGCAAATGAGGCGAGGTGTGTGTGATAGCATCACAAAAACACACATGCGCATGCACACACACATACACATACATATACACACACACACACACATATACACAACCACACACACAGTCTTTGATAACAGGACTGTTCCTCTGAGACTTTGGGAGCATTCATGGACATGACTATAAAGGGAACAGCACAAAGAGAGAGGGAGCAGAGGAGGGAAGGGAGAGGGAGAGAAAGTGTGTGTGCGTCATGGGACTGAGACTTCTTTAATGCTGGGAAGCGAACATAATGAGTAAGCACTGTGAACACACGTACATACGCACACGACGACCCATGTACAGATACATACACGTGCAGACATTTGTAGAAAAGCACATGCAGATCTAGACATTTACAAAGACATGGCATGCACATACACACATGTACAAAGACAAACGCACACGTGCAAGAAAACACATACAAGGGGAAGCACTTCCTTCCGCGTTTCATCTTATTTTTGTAGCATTTAAAATCACTGTTAATTACTCCTGTGTGGGATTCAGTGATGGGGTATAGCCTGTGGAAGATTTAAAAAAATGTGTTTTCTCTTCTTCTATTCCACTGATGCTGTCCTTCTATCGTTCTTCTTCTCTGGTTTGTGATCCATGGTTGGTAGTGGTAGGATGCCTCCAGGTCTGAGCGTCATGTATGAGTTTGTCTCCTTTTCTGTTTGTGGTGTTTTTGTGGAAGCTGACCTCAGTCATTAAAGTCAGTCAGTCAAAAGTAAACACAGAAGTCAGAGCAAGGAGAGAAACACAAATAAAGATTGTCTTTTTGTCTACTCGAAAAACAAGTCAAGTGAGTGGAATTTCTTCACTGGAAATGTGAATTAATTTTCATTTAATGTCCCCCCCCACAACCACACACCATGATTGTATTCATGTATTATGCTGCACCTGGGTCTTCATTTTGCCCATTCAATCTTACTCTGACGTCAAAGTATTGGGACAGTGAGCACTGAGCACTGCCAGTCAAAGCATGAAATTATTCAGATGAAATCACCCTCTCCAATCTTCAGCTGTTTCTCCCTCAGCGATGTGACAGCTAATCTGAACTGCTGACAACATGGAGACTGAATAGCTTGATAGCCTTTCCTCTCTTGTTTTCATCAGATTTCCTGCAGGGTGGCCTACCAGTGATGGAAAGTAACCAAGTGCATTTACTCACGTAATGTACTTAAGTACAATTTTGAGGTACTTGGTACCGTGGTCTGCTACCTGCTAGGGAAACGTTTTTTTGTTTTTTTTTATTGTATAGCTATAATCACTTGAGATTTTACTTAGAAACACATTTAAAAAAAGCTTATATATATATACACTGTTCAACAATGGTCAACAGGTTGGGAACCAGTGGTTCCCAACCTGTTTGGATTGTACCCCTTTACAGAACAAGCGATGTTTAGTTGACCCCTTTGTCACATTTCAGATGTCTATAAGAGCATTTCCATCTACCTGTTTTTATGCACATTTTTTATTTGTGCATTAAACCTTCATGAAAATGTCAAAATGAAAAAAGTCAAATTATCTTTTATTTATTTGAGGTCCACAGAGGGGGGAAATCTATTATTTCATAAAGAAAGCTAAGATTAGAGAAAGGTCAGAGAAAAAATGATACAAAGTTGTGTTACAGTTTTTTCCTCTTTCTTACGTTATTAATCATCCCATGACCGCTTACATTCATTTTGTGACCCGTTGGAGGGGACAAGGCCCTTAGTTTGGGAATCACTGGACTGTATGTAAAGTAGTTAAAACTAGCTCCACCTCAACCAGCCACAACAGTAAAATGCCACTTATACATTGATGCATCAGTATCAATAACTTATTAATGTAATATTTTATGAAAGACTAATCAAAGGTTGTGCTCAAGTAGAATTTTGAATGTAGGACTTTAACTTGTCTGAATACTTCGTACACCAAATGGGCCTACTGGTTAGAGTGACTGCCCTGAAACCGAAAAGTCACAGGTTTGATTGCCACCACAACTCCTATGTCTATTAAAAGTCAGTTGTCTTTCAGCAAGACATGGAATCATTACATGTTGTTGATGACGAAAGGTTAAATGTAAAAAAAAAAAAAAAAAAGTGCATATGAAATGTTTCCTCTCCTCTTTGAGCTCATTAGGTTTTCTCCAGATCCGAACATGAATAGACAAATAGACAATGGACACCCATAAGGGGCTTGTAAGGGCCAGAGCTTACTTGAAACAGTTATTAGCCCTGTTTTAAAAGCGTTATTTGAAACCACTGACTCAAATCTTTTGGCAGTGTGATGCAAAAAGAATATCAGAAACGTTGTTTGGGGGCAAAACTGAGGTACATGAATAATAGATGAGCCTTGGCTTGCCATGTTTGGCCTTCCTGTGCATAGCGGGCTAATGGCTATCGATGTCTCCAGTTTCCATCAAATTGCTTCATATGAGAGCTCAATTCAAATGAAGAAAGATTAGATTCAAGTGAAAAGGAGATGAGGGAATGAAATTATCTCCTGAATATTGAGACACACGCTTGCTCAGCCAATTCTTTGTCCCGACAAGTATCAGGTACCAGCGGAATTAGCCTATCGTAAAATTAAGCCCGATCAAGCAAGGCCTCGAAACCTTCCCATGTCTCAATCCTTGAGAGAGGAAAGATGGATGTGTGATACAACTGGAACAGAGCCAGAAATGAACAGATGTGCCCCTTGAAATCATGAGAAAATAGAGATCTGGGCTATGTCACTGACACACGTGCACATACACACACTACTATATCCCTGTTTATTCTCTTCCAGATTTAATTAATCACTTGATTATTTCAGCAATTTTCATTGGCTGGCGTACATGTGGGACAACAATTGGCGAGAATAAATTTGGCCTATATGATGTTGGTTTTGGCAACAACCAAAAAGGAAAGCCAGGAAATACAGATGGCGACCCCTCTCCATTCCTTTTCTCTTTCTGTCCCTTCATCTCTTCTTCTGTTGATTTCTCGCTCTCATAGACACATTATTAGGCTATAGGCTAATCCATTCTCTTCTCTCCCCTGTACTTTTGTCTCCTCGTATTCAACTAACTGGCATGATTTAGGAATTATGGAATTAGGGCAGCGCTCCCATCTCTATTAATGAGGAACGGCATGATGAAAGAGCTTGATCCTGAACGTGCCATCTGTAGTCACTATTACACATTCACTTAATCGTTCTCTCTCCCTCGCACTACTTTTCTTTCCCTTAATTCTTTCCCCTCTCACTCTCTCCCACACACACATCCTCTGTCAAACACACTCACATTATACCTTAGATGTAATTACAGAGGAAATACTAAGTCTTAGCTCTTCAAGCACCGTTGGCTGTGGCGTGAAATGGTGAAATGGTACAGCAGGGAAAGTTAACTATGGACCACACACCAATGCATAGGCATACACGTACACACGCAGGAGTCCAGATGGACCGTGTGTTATTGCTGAATAATGCATACTATGTAGACTCTATAAAAGATACATGGGCAGAGAGAGCTGGGCACTGTTCAGGCACCCTGGGCAGTTCAGTGAGGGCAGCTCGGAGCATCCCTTGTGCAAATTTGGAGCTGTCACAAAATGTTCAGTGTGTAGGTATTTAGCTGTAGGTGACCCAACAGGGAAAATATTTAGCTGCATTTAGAGAGGGGAAAAAACACTTGCCTTTTAGACATTGTCAGTTGATATGTTGGCTGGCACTCTGCCCAGTGTCTTTGCAGTCACCTTGAAGAGGCTTTTGTGGTTTCAACCATAAAACTTGGGGAATTACACAGTAGATTCAATGCTAGAGGCTCAGATTTCAGAGTATCTCTCAGAAACACTATGAAAAATATCCAGCAGTCTGTCTTCATGTAAAATACAGAGAAGGGGGGAGAGGGGGCGAGGGGGAGGTCTGGGCGAAGGGTAAATGCTGCACTCATGTGGGGAAAATGAGCAGCGCCTCTTTTTCTCTGGAGTCATATGACAGGATATGCGCACCATCATGTGCTGCGTTCAAGTGTATGTTTAAAAAAATGTAGCTATTACAACAGCAGAATTAAGGAGAGGCAAAGTGTCCCGAATTCAATGTTTTCCTAACAAAATCTAGTAGCCAAAACTCATGGATTTTTAACACACACAAAAAAAAAGAGATAAAAACAGTACCATGCTAATTGTTTACTTACCAAGCAATAAAATCACATTTTTATCCTACTTCATGGCTTCAACTCTTTCTGCAGTGATGTAAAGTAAGCGCATACATTTACTCATAAAAGCCTTCTGTACTGAGGTACAATTTTGAGGTAGGCTATTTCCATAGTTACTTCTGTGTTTCCATTTTCTGCTACTTTCTACTTCAACTCCACTGCGTGTCAGAGTGAAATATTATAGGCTACTTTTTTCTCATCTCCATTTATCAGACAGTCACATTTATTTTGCAGATTGACATTTTACCAACAAAACAAATTAAAGGTTTATAAAACTGGATACATGAGACTATCCACAGTCACACAAAGTAAACTAACACCACTAATAATAATAACCCACCAATTCAATAAATAATTTAACACTGAAATGACTTGCCACCCCTTCATGAGTCCTGTAGCCCAAGTACATTGATGATACTGCATTACTTTTCACTGAAGTAAAGTTTTGAATGCGGGACTTTCACCTGTAACATGATATTTCGTCATTGTTTTATTAATATGTTCACTTACTTCTTCCGAGTTTAAAAACTCGATCTAGAATCGCGATATTTCCAACAGCACTTAAAAGCACCGCCTGACACACTCAGGACAGCCTGACGGAGGATCCACTGAAGGAATCCAGAAGTTGCCAGTGCAAAGTTCGCATACCGTAAAGAAGGAGGAGTAGCGCGGTCAATTTTTTTTCAAAACAAGGAGGGTTAACTGTAAGTATTGACTCCCTAGATAAATATCTCTCTCCCGCTTTCCTGTCGACATAGTAGTTTGAGTGGTTGAGTTATGTAGTTGACAAGAAAGCGGAACTAGCTAACTAGCGAGCTAGCAGCACAGTAGCTAACGTTTAGGTTAACGAGTTGCCAGCAGGATCCTGCCCTGTTTGCGATACTTTTAAGCACAACCGAAACTTCTCTGACAATGTAAGGAAACTTTAATCTGCTTCGACGCTATTCCGTGTCTTTCTCCAACTATTTCATTCAGTTTTAAAATGTTTTTTAGGGACTTTACAGGCACAACTTTGGCATGGGTGTGTGAGACAGTTTTGTGTGTGTGTGTGTGTGTGCGCATTGACGTTAGGTTCAGTGCAGCCTAACGTCACCTGTTTATCAAGTGACCCTCGTTAAATGGTTGCTCACCACTTTGCGATAAGTTACTCCAGTTCAGGTGCGTAACGTTACAGCACTGAACCTATTTAAATTTAGCAACGGGAATTATGAAGCATAAGTCGTGGTTTCACCTATGTTTTAAAGCATGATTTGCATCACACGATTTGAAAAAAACATGACACATATGCCCTATAAATTATGCTTTGAAAGCGATAAAAGGTCATTGTTTAGGTTTTGACTGTACAGCATGATGTCATTGGCCCTTTTGTTGTTTATTTTGGTACAGCAGGTCAGAATTATCAGTCAACCAGTCACACTTAACCAGAATAAATGTGTCATCATCACTGAGGGCAGGCTGTATGAAAACTTAAATTAGCAAATAAATAGCCTCTGTGTTTGAATGTGGGGGAAAAAGATCAAGGAGGAGGAACACAAAATGACTGGAATAAGAAAAGACGTCAGAGTGTGTGCTGCAGTCAGATCTGGAGGAACAGGTTTGGGTAGGGGAACAAGAAATGCGTGTCCCTGTAGTAGCTGTATAACCAGAGACATACTCTTGGTGCTGTGAAGAAACAATAACATGATGAACGGGTATGTCCTCTAGCCTTGTTAAATTAATCTTTCTGTTGCTGTGAGAACTTGCAGTGTGGTGTTACAGTCTGGTGGTGTTATCGAGTGTGAGGTGTAAAAATGTAGGGGTTGCTGTTTTCTCAGTGCGCAGGAAACAAAAAAGTAGTATTTACCCATGTGTAGCTTAAGTGTAACCTTCTCATCACTGATTCATGAGGATAACCCAATATCCAGCTATACAGCGATCTGTTTTGCTGGCACATGTAATTGATCTTGTAGTGGTGACATGTTCATCTGTTCTTGTTGAGGCTTGGTATTTCAAAGGAGCACAATTTGTGTGCTTGAGTCTTCCTTCAATTCAGTGTTATAGTTGTAAACTCGTATCAGTATCTTGCCAAGCCGTGTGAACCGAGTGCCCTCTTTCTGAAAAATAAATGCAGAGTCGACAACATTAAATCCTCTGAACTGTCTGCCAAGTAGACTATCTTCCCTGTCCTTTTTCTCAGGATGTTTAGTTGGTGCAGGAAAGGGAACTTAAAGTTCAGGTGTTATTTGGAAAAACAAGACAATGTCACTAAAGGAAAAGAGGTTGACCGGAGAGGAAGAAAGGTGAATAAAGCTGTGTTTCCTGAATGTTGGTGTGCTTTAAACTCTAGCGATGATGGAATAAAAACACCCTGTTGAGTTTTTGGCTTTGTCCTTGAAAGTATCACACTGCATCAAAGAAAACTGGCTTAAGTCTTTGCTTATGGTGATCTCTGTCTCATGTTACCTTGTGCACCAAGGGCTGTCTGAGGCTGCCATTACGCCAGACATGTCAGTGCATCCTGTGATTCTAAACTGCATGACGGTCACTTGATGTACATATCAGATTTGTATGGATTGGTATCTGTTAAAGCGTTGTGCAAAGTAGCCTAGCTCAAGCTGTGATCAGAATGACTGTCCAAATGAATTACCTGGGCAAACACGGTGAAACCACACGTATTACTCTGTTCTGTCTGCCTGTGTAGTTGTATTTGTGACACACCAGCATCATGTACAACTCTCCTGTGGAAAGTGCTTTAGGGGTTACTGTTTGCTATTTTTCCTGTGTAGTCCTGCTCTCACCTTCCCTAACACTTAATGGTTTTTCCATCTGATCCACTTGTCTTTGCCATGCTTTGTATGGACTTGTCTGGAATTGGATTGTCCAATTTCACAATGAGTGGCCCTTAAAGGCCAGCCGCGATCAGCGCTTCCTGCTGCTGGTTCACACTAAAAATCTTTTCAGTGTCATTTCCTTGCCTCGTGCCTGCCCTGCTGTTGCACATATTGTGCAAGATCATGAAATAAAAATTTTAATCTGAACGCAGAGCCTGCATTGACCTGTCAAATGTGGAGACATCTGCGTTTGTCCTTTTGTGATCAGCAGTGGGATTTCATTTTCTGGTAGTCACATGAAACCAGCAGTTTAATTGTACTATCTGTGCCTTGGTTTGGGTTGGGTTTTTTTTTTTTTTTTTTTTAAACTGAAGCTTTAAGTGTTTATGATTCAGTAACTGACTCTGAGACTTACTAAGCACTTAAAGTTTGTTGCAATTTAATACACTAGCCTATATTTAACATTTATTTACATATAGTGTTTTTGCACGCCTCCCACCATGCTTTCTGCCTATTTTAAGTAAGTGTATTACCTTTTGCTTTAAAACAAATCCCTATATTCAGTCCATAAAGATGCTAGAGAGCATGTTGGCTCTATCATTAAGGTTGCATAGATTATCATCACATTTGGTGATACTGGCTTCCATAATAAAATATTTAAGATTTATGATAATTGCATCACATGCAAAACGGCACAAAAATCATCAGTCAGTATTGATCCTTGTTTTAGCCATAAAGGCTAACGATGGCATCATTTTAGCTCTTATCTTGAAACCCTGTTCTATAGGAAAAGCAGGGACAAGTGAGTTATTGATCAATATACTGTATGTCAAAGAAATGTGATCATATTTTGGGGAAGACTTTAGGTGCATTCAGGTAAGTTTTACATACAAGAGAATTCTGGAAAATAACATTAATTATGTGGATATTGGAGCAAACCATAGTAACCTTTTGCATACTTCCAGTTACAACATCCAATCTCATGATTCTGATTTGCCTATCACAGCCTCCTTATCTCTTATGTTTAATGTTGGCATATACAGTGTCTGCTAGCTAAGATTTAAACACACAGGGAACTGCTCGAGGCTCACTAAAAGAGTTTTGCTTCATCATTGAAATATATTTTGTTTCCTTTATCAGCCAGCCTGCTGTATGTGTTCAGACTCCCTAACTCTCTTTCTGGGGCAGGAAAAGATCCTGATTTGTTTTAGGTTTTGCATCTCCTTCTTCTCTTTCCATATGAGTGACATGAACATGCACTCAAGTTCTCATGCAGTTAAGTATTGGGTCCTTAAATGTGATCTCCATATTGACGATTGCACACTGGCAAAATGGTCCACAGCAGTGAGCCCTGACCAGTACTGTGGCATAATGATGTGCTGTAGCATGAAGCATGGAAATTGAATTTGGGAGATTGACTTAGTGCTACTGGTTATTTTTATCAAACCAAAGCCAGTAAGTTTCTGATAGCTTTATTTTTTTAATAAACAAATGACAAATCTTCATCATGACTTACATCAGCCTAATTGCTTATTTTGTCTTCTTTTGCCGTTTTTTCATTACCTCAACTCCAAAAACTTTCAAGAACATTTTTGTTCCGCCATCACTTTTTGTAAAACTGTCTATTTGAAATCTACACAGTTGATTTCTCACCTCAAAACTTCTCAGAAGTGGATTTAGTGATGAAATAACATATGAAAATTGTAAAATAAACTTTCTGTTGCTGGCCTCTGTCAGGTGTGCACAATCATGATGCAGTGAATAGTGACTATTCTCGCTGACCAATCAGTAGTCTGCTGTATTTTCACGTGGCATTTTAGTATCGGCTCAGCTCACTTGGAACCTCAACGGAGGTGGTACGAAAAAAAAGTACCTGTTAGCAGGTACAGGTACAACTTTTCCACAATGGAAAACCAAAAAAAAGAGGCGTCGAGCTGGTACCATGCAGTGGAAAAGGGGGAGCTTTTTTTATTTATTATTTATTTATTTTTTTTTTCACCACCTTCCTAAAACTCTCAAGGGGGAGCACTAACATCCTTTGCACAACAGTCACACTGACAACCGATGCCAATTCAATCTCTTATATCTCTATTTATTCATTTAGCTGACGCTTTTATCCAAAGCAACTTACAATTGCCATATATGTCAGAGGTCGCACGCCTCTGGAGCAACTAGGGGTATCTTGCTCAGGGACACAATGGTGGATGGTCACAGTGGGGAGTTGAACCCAGGTCTCTCTCACCAAAAGTCTTATCCACTGCACCGTCACCACCACCACCCCAAAATGCTAGATATCAACCCAATTAATCAGTCTATCACTAAACCTCACATTTTAGAATCTGTAACAAGGAAGTGTAGTCTTGCCGCGTAAATGACCTTAAAAGCAGATCCAATTAATATTACTATAAAAGTAACTTGCTGTACATTTAAAATCTATCAACATATGTGTTGTCTGACTTGTCGAGGAAAAAAGTTATTATATTGCGAGATTAATGTCGTCATTTAATGAGAATTTCATAGTAGTTTTTTAAGTCTACCTGCCCTATACTCTGTGCATTACGTTATTACTCTACCGATAACGGTAGCAATGTTATCCTTTTCTGACAGGCAGAACTGGATGAGACAAAGAGGTGGAGATGATTCAAGAAGCGAGTCGATGTTATCAGTTGTACACTTGATTTTCACTGCTTGAGAAAATTGATGTGTGGTGTGACAGTGTTTGAAAAGGATCAATTGTGTTAGTCTCATGAGACTGGTTTCCCCCTGACGTCACACATTAATCTTGCGAGATCTCATCACACAACCCTAATAGCAATGTGTCAAATTAATAATAGAAAAATTAAGTGCTTATTTGTTTGTGATTCAAATTAATTAAAACAAACATTTATTGAACATTTGCTATAGTTAGGAAAATTCAGATTTGTTTGAGTCACAGAGCTTTATGATTACTGATGCCGTCTGATGTGACGTGAGTGACCCTAAAATCTGCCGTTCTTCCAGGCCGCAGAATATCGAGCTCGGTGCCACTGGGGAAGCCTCCAAACAGGACAGCAGCAAAATGGAAGACATGACTGTGGAACAGATGACCATGAGGGCCAACCAAGTGACTGACGAGGTACTGAGTCACACACCCGACACGAACACAGAATCCCTCTCTCCCTCATTATCTCGTCTGTTTCTCTGAGTGTATGAAACCTTCTTAAAGTGATATTCAGCTCGAAATGTTGTGGTATCAAATGCCAAAACGAGCTCCAGACTCGTGATGAAACAATGGGTGTTTGGAACATACTGAGCAGCAGTGGGGAAGTGCATAATGTTGCAGGAGTGTTTTGGAAATGTTTTTCTGTAATACTTTATTTCACAGGTCAGTAAATTCCAAGTAGTCCCCTCTGACATTTCCTAGAAACAATGATATCTATTTTGGTACTGATACTCCTATTAATTACAGTGGAAATCTCCTTATAGTGATCATGTCTGTCTGGGTCAAATTGATCACTAAAAGCAGATATAAACAAATTTTGGTTTCTTTATTTTTCGTGCAGATTACCATCTAGTTGATGTTTTATATATTATAACATGAATATAAAGGAATAATGGGGGAGCAACATTTTTAAAAAAGTAGACGAGGTGATTTCAATTTAAATAAAATTTTCAGGCCTGCAGTATAGTATCCTCATACACTTGTTTTCCCCATGTAAATCATGTTCATCCTACTTAGTTTCACACCACATTTTTCCCCTGGTCACCCACCCCAGTTTGAGAACCACTGAGTTAATGGTTAAAATAATCAAGATTTATTATTCTTATAATGAAATGATCATTTTAGCCATGACCCTGTTGAATGTAAATGTAAATGCTCCGTACTTGTATAGCGCCTTTCTAGTCTTTTCGACCACTCAAAGCGCTTTTACACTACATCTGCATTCACCAGTCACACACATTCATACACTGAGCCTAAGTGCTCAAACGGAAACTAACATTCACACTCACTCATACACTGGCGGAATAGCCGCCAGGGGCAAATCGGGTTCAGTATCTTGCCCAAGGACACTTCGACACGCAACCAGGGGGAGCCAGGGATCGAACCGCCGACCTTCCGATTAACGGCCAACCCGCTCTACCACCTGAGCCACAGCCGCCACCAGAATTGAAGATGGCAATTTTTGGCTTATTTGGGAAAGCGTCAGTAGAAAAGAAGAAAACATACACACGTGGTCCTGGGGTGGCTTTAATACAAAACTGAAAGAGCAGGGGGGTGTAATTGGATTAATAGCATTCGCAGTTGATTATTGAGCTCGGCATTAATGGGGGGGGAGTGAGAAGTTTTACGCTTAATTTAGCCTGATGGCTCCCTTACCCCTCTGTGGTTTTGACAGTTTGAATTTTGTCAGCTATATCTAAAGGTTTTATTATCAAGGAGATAATTGTTTAATCAGCACTCCAGGGTATTTTATGATCAGCCATCTGATTCAAATGGAGGCAAATTAACTTACTAGCTGGGCTCGTAGCAGTGCACTTCACCTTCCTGCAAATTTGACTATACTAATAGTCTATGGTGGTCTCTTATCTCTTTTTTTCTTAACTATGTGTTTTCTCTCTGTGTGCTTTCTGACCTAACCTGCAATTTTCTCTTTCTTCTTTTTTGCTGCTGCCTGGTTGACTTAGCAGATCATAGAAGGGACAGGGCATGGGAGGGTCCTTCTGCTAATGCTACTTACTACTCTGGCTTTGGGTAACCACTCATACCTGAAACACTCACAGCATATCTGGTAATGTATCAGGGCAACTAACACAAGCTATCTTATCTTTTTGAGGCCGTTTCCCATGTCCAGTAGTTATAAATGGCTTTTAAATCTCAAAGTCAAAGTTATTTAAATGCATTGTTTGTGTGCTAGTATCTAATCATCCTGGTATATTGCACCCAATTAATACCCATAGTGGGTGTTTTGTTATGCTTTTTTGTGGTAAAATAACACTTGAATTTTATGGGGTTTTTTTTTTTTTTTTTTCAAAAAGCCTTGCATGTAGTTTGCTGGATCCTGCACGTACCTCGTATCTGTACTTCCATTTAAGCCATCCCAAACAAATGATAAAAATACCACGCCATTGTTTGTATCTCAAAGATTTGTCACAGCAACCCAATCTGGAAAATTTGGCTAAGACAGTGCTTTTGAGCTTAATTAGCCAAGTTCAAGGATTTTAGGAGACATAATGTAATGTTTATCCACCCATGTGATGTTCTGGCTAAGCCAACTGAAACCTGGCTGAGCGCAACACATCCCTCTCGCCAATTCTGTGTTTGTCTTTTTCTCAACTCACTGATTAATGCATTCAGAGCAAATATAACACGGAGAGAATGAGGAATCGGGTCCCCACTCTCTCCTGTTAACAGTTCATTAGTGACGGCAACAGTGGAGTCGTGCCCTGAGTCGCGTCCGCACTTCACTGGATGTTCTGCTCTCTGTACAGCACTTGCTATTAATAGACACACAAAGGCTTAACTCACCTGAACTGACTGCATTCCAGTTTGCCGTCAACACCTTTGTCTGTGCGTGCATGTGATGAGGGTTTTTTATGTCCGTCTTGCTGAGTTTAGACACAGAACACCGTAGCTGTGTCTCAAATCCACACCACGTACACATTCTCAGGAGGTTTTAGAATGTTCACACTGGAGAGGTGACAAAATGAAGTGTACTCAAACCAGACATAATACTATAGAGGTTGAGCTTCTTTTTTTACCTTGTAACATAATAATTTATCCATCAGAGTAGTTGAATATTCATTTTCTGTATCAATTAATTAGTTTCCCAAAGCCCAATGTGACACATTCAAATTGTTTTTGTTTGACTAATATCTTTTAAAACTGAAGAAATTATTCAAAATCGCAATATGGCCTACTGCAATATTCAAATCACAGGAGTACAATATTTGTTAAAGGCAAAATGTGTATCAAAATACCATTTTAAATATAACAAACCATAATTAATTTTTAAATTCTTTTCAATGAGAATAATTGTGTAAAAACAATCATTCCCTCCAGTATTGCAAATCACATTGCAGTATCAGTCTGATATTACAATACAATGTAGTAATATTTTCAGGAGAACTAGGTTATACCCCTAAACAAAAAATCATAAGCAATGCGCATCAACGATCAAGACGTTGTTTATTTCTTTAAGCTTGATGTAAGCTCTGAAATGATTAGATCATCAAAAAATGTATTTAAACAATTTTTATAAATCAGTTTAAGCAATCTGAACTGCTTATTTGACAAAACAAGCAATTTGAAGACATCACTTCATGCTTTAGACAGGTGGTTTTTACTATTTTCTCATGTTTTTAATAATGTCTAATATAACAATTACTCAGATTGATTTATGAGACCCAGTAAGCTCACAAGTGTGTGTTTTACTTGACTGTGGTGCAATCTGTAAGACCAGGGAAAACAAACTTAACCTGATTAAGCTTTTTTGGGGGGGGGGTTATCTATCTATCGTCGCAGTGTGGATGTTAAATTGATGACAGAGGGTGCAGGGATAGAGTAAGTCAGACACTGATGATTAGAACCAGAGAAGAGACTGTATGTAACAGCAGTTTTAGCTTTACACTCACTCTTTACTCTTACATTTGGATAATTGGCACCTAAAGGAGCTAAACACCAAAATGTATCAACCCTGAGGTGTGAATGCACACAAGTCAGTCATTTTGTCTGTGCTTTTTTAGATAAACTTGCTCACCTCTTGTTTTTCCTCCACAGTCACTGGAAAGCACAAGGAGGATGCTGCAGATGGCAGAGGAGGTGAGACTTTGCTCCTGCTGATGCAACAGTGCAATATCATCTTGCATGTAGTTGTATTTTGACTACCAGAAAATGGGTCCCTGTTTATAATTGGCTCCAACACATAAATATGTCTGTAATTCTGAATTTCTGTGACTCTTGTGTGTTTACAGAGCAAACAGACCGGCGTCAACACCATGGTGATGTTGGACGAGCAAGGAGGTAGATATTACAACATGAACACTGCCTGATACAAATGTTTCAACCTGTCTTTTATTTTCCTTTTTTTAAATGTTGGTTGTTTCTTGTTATTGATATACATATTAACTGCCTGCCTGGTTCTTTTTAATTTAATATCTTAAATACACCTGTGTCAACAGAGAGGAGGCACACACTGCAGCCTGATGATTGTCTTATCCATTGCGTTGCAAAACAAAACCAAATTGACGCTCATGACATAACGTTGCATCATAGGACCCGCAAGTCTTGATAGCAGTATTGATGAGCTCGAGCATTATTGATTTTTCGGGTTTTGAGAAATTTTGGAACCGGGTCTCGATCCCCATCCCTAATGCTAAAATATTTATTTATTTTTTGCTGAATATACACATCCTACATCAGCTTGCTTTTGTTATTGCAAGATGTCAGTGTGCTAAAATACAAATGTCATGCAAACTTCATTATTTCAATAACTTTTGCATTTCAAAGCTTTAAGATGATTTAAGGGAAGAGATTTCCTGTTTCGGACATTTACAGAAATATTTTATTCCCCATGAGGCAGTTAGGATCGTACAGGGAAGTTTTCAAGCCATTGTCTGCAATATATAAACGCGAAAATGTTGTGCCTAAAGAAATTTTGCACATTTTCTAACTTTGAATTACATTCATTCATTTAGCTGACATGGTCGCACGCCTCTGGAGCAATTAGGGGTTAAGTGTCTTGCTCGGGGACACAATTGTGGATGGGTCACAATGGGGAATTGAACCCAGGTCTCTCACACCAAAGGCATAGTCTTATCCATTGCGCCATCACCACCCCTTGAATTGAAGTAATTTGTGCTAACCTCCCTAAGCACTTTAAAGCAGTGTAGTGTTGAGTAATAGAACAGGTGCGAATAAAGATACTGAAATTAAATGAAAAAATCTGTTTGAGTTTATTATTAATTGTAATTTCTATAATGTGAATCACGAAATATTGGTGTGGCAAACTGTTACTTCATTAATTATCTTCAGTTTTGTCCCAGGACAAGTTATTTGTCTATACTTTTTTATCTTTAGATTAGATTTATAGTTTAGTGGTTTGTTTGTTTTTTTTGCTGCTGCTTTGCTCCAGTTATTGTTTGTAGAATGTGTGTGTATATAAAGTATACTTAGGTATACTACACCATGTAAGACTCCTTTTCTGTATTTGTCTGTGTTTTAGAGCAGCTGAGGCGTGTGGACCAGGGCTTGGACCAGATTAACCAGGACATGAGACAGGCTGAGAAAAACCTGACTGACCTCTCAAAGTGTTGTGGCCTCTGTGTCTGCCCCTGTGACAGGTACATTCAGGGCTGCTGAAACCTCCAAATCATTGTTGTGTGCTATCATGCTTTGTGTGCTGTACTTGTTTGTCTCATCATAATTTGCAGAACAGATATGTGAAAAACAATGTGTGAATGAACCTCACAGTGATGGCTATTAGCAGAATAGAGCAAGTTTCTGGTTATTAGCATATTTAACTTCGATAAGTTTTTATAAAAAAATTTTTTATCATGTACAGAGGGAGTTATTTCAGGCAATCTGGTTCCAGAAGTAAAAATCCCATAATGGCAGGTGACCGCTTAGATAGGCATGAAACTCTTCTGGTTAAATCATCAATACAAGAGTTCACCATCTGCGTTGAAAAATATTTTGTTCTTTGATTTAAAAGTAAGGGTACCAGCTTGTGTACAAAAAGGAAGGTGAGACATCTCCCAAGAAGCATTTTGGCCTAAAATTCTGTAAAATTGATAATACACAGCTGTAGCTTTTTATATAAATTCACTTTTCGTTTCTGGATGAAATCAGCAGCTGTGGAGACCTTTTTTTTTTTTTTTGTTGTTGTTGTTTTGTTCCCACCTGCAAGAGTTTTGAACTCTTTTCGCACCTCTGCCTGGCCCCTTTTCCATAGCAACAGCAGCTGATACTCATGGGTACTGCCATGCGAAATTTGCTGACAATGCATGATTTCTCTGAAACGACGTTCAAATAATAAAAATTGATGGCCATTCCCTAAACATGAAGGATTTTTACATTTTCCAGGAGAGTCCTGTGTTTTAATGTTAAAAGAAAACCTATGAAATGGGAATACAACAGCCTCTCTCTCTTCACAACTCTATTCTCATGGGTTTGAACACTTCCATGACACGACTCTGAGCTTCTGGTGTGATTTTCACATGAACACAGCGTGAACTGCAGCCATATTCGCAAATGTTGGCTGGTAGTGTGACATGGGGGGGGGGGATTGTGGATACAATTTGTGAGCGTTCCTGATGTCGTAGAGAATGTGACACTGTTCCTACCAAGTTCTTAACATGAGGTGCATTGCTCTGTGATGAGCATACTTAAAACTCTTTCCATCAAACCATCTTGATATGCAGTGTCAGTGTGTGTGCATAGTAAGCTCGTATCTGGTTCTAAACATGAAAAACAAATCTCCCCAAAATGCTTTCACATTGGAGAAGAGGATTCTTTGATGAATACCATAAGATAAGGTAGGGGATCTTTTTAACTTCCTTATGATTAATTAACATCTGTGACTGTAGTAAAAGCCGACCTGTGAACTCCTTGTGGATGCTTTTATGTAGAGAGCTGTGTGTGTGTGTGTGTGTGTGTGTGTGTGTGTGTTCTTAGTTTTTATTTAAACACCTGAATTACCTTTATTTATAGTGACTTCCCGTTCTTCTTCCAGAGTTTCGTCAATTGAACACGACTCACGATACAAGCGTACCTGGGGTATTGGAGGCGGCGGTGGCGAAGATGACTCCAACGGCTCAAAAGTAGTCTCCAGTCAGCCATCAGGTGTTCGCAATGGCCAGACTGCCCAGGTGAACGCCCCGGAACCATCAGGCCCATACATCAAGAGGTGGGGTCATTTTAGTTAAGAATCTTTTACCATGATGTTGTCAGAAGCATGGTGACATATAGTGTCCAATTGTGCTAGTCACAAATGACATGTTGACACGTTCTACTGAGCACTTGCGGACAAATACCTGACTTCTGTGGTACAGGATAACCAATGACGCACGCGAGGATGAGATGGAGGACAATCTGAATGCAGTGGGCGGCATCATTGGCAACTTGAAATCTTTGGCTATTGACATGGGTGAAGAGATAGACAAGCAGAACAAACAGATTGACGGCATCACTTCCAAGGTAAGAGTCTGGGCTTAGTGACATTTCAGTAGTTTTGTCCTTTTTTTAATTGTGTGTTTGTTTGATTATGCTTCCTAAGCAGATTCTGTCACCTCAACTTACCCGAGTTGCTATTAATTATGTCAAGCTCAATGGCCATCAAAGGTACCCTGTGGAGTTTTCCACCACTAATAGCACTATGGAGCAGTATTTAGTGTGTGTACCCGCATGAGGACGCACATGCACAAGTGGCGTGACAGATATACCTGCCCACAATGTGGTTCTGATCCACTGACTGATAGTTGGCTGCCTGCAGTAATGCGGAAGAAAGAAGACTAGTTTGCAGACATGGATGTAAACAACAATTTAAAATGTTTTTGAAAATTGCAGAAAGGTGGGTTTTATTTATTTTATTTTTTTTAGAAAGAAATTCATTCTGCATGTTTGTTAGGCCGGAAGGAAACACGCATTGTATTATGGCGAGAAACGATGAATGTAAACATAGCTTTTGTTTGTTTTACAAGGAAACTCCACAGGGCACATTTTATTTTTATTGGAAAGAATTAGGTATTGCGTTAGAGCACATTATGTGGTTCTACACATATTTGGTGTGACTTGCCCTGTGGAGAGCTCTTGTAAACAAACAAAAGTTATGTTACATTCAGTTTTATTCACCAAACTCCTTGAGGTCTAACAAACATGTTAAATCAATTTTCTTTCTCATAAAACATTCCTTTCCTGCATTGTTTACATCCATGTTTACTTGGTAGGAATATTCTTCTTCCCTGCCTTTGTTGGCAAACTACTGCGTACCTTGGCACATTACTGCCGCCTGAATATCAGGGGAATGGTGTGAAACCATTGGCAGGACTGCTACTGTGTCCCCCAAGTGCACAAAAAAACTAAAAGGGGGACCCACTTAATAAAAGAGAACTGCTCCATAGAACTAAGGTCAAAATCTCCGCAGGGAACCTTTAATGTTTTTCTAAATGTATTTCAAGTTAGTGAATTGCTAAATGAAAATAAAAAGGGTGAGTGTATAACGAGCCCTTTTCCCTGTTTCTTCTATTTCTTTCAGGCGGAAATGAACAAAGTTCGTATTGATGAAGCAAACCAGAGAGCCAACAAGCTCATCAAATAAACAAGAAACCCTGCTTCTGCCAGTTTTATCCATCAAACCTGAGCCTCTGTCGCCACACCCATACACACACTGCATACTTGCACACATGCACGAACACACACTTTGACATAAATAAAAAACAAAGAAATTCTGTCGGAGAATATTTTTTGCCAGTAGTGTGCTTGCTTTTACTGTACTAAGGTGCAAGTAAAATGCACAAACATTTATATGTTCTTAGAAATTGACTGCCACCAATATACCCTTTGGCACATGTATTCATACTGGACTTGCATGTATTCATGCTGGACTCTGAGATACAGCATGGGCATCAGAAGCTGCACTAAAGAGGAAGTGACTGACTGCCTATCGCTGCTGTTTGATACCAAATGTGCAACAGACCTGTTGTACCATATCTCAACATTGACAGTAAGGGAAGTAGCACCGCTGCTTTTCTTTTTGTTGCTTTTCTGTTAAACTCAGAAACTATGAACTGTCTGTCTTTGTCTGTGTGCATCTCTGGTTTGTATGGATGAGGTCACAGATCCAAGCTCTTATTTTATTATTTTTTATTTTTTTAATGATATACAGCAAAGCATTAATTTATGCATCACCCCCTGTTGGTCCTGCCTTGAGACAGCTACATCTAGTTGAATCCTAAAACATTGACTTCTGTCTGAAACAAATGTATCTTCCTCAAATGCTTATTGGTTCAATGTGTACTTAAGGTTATTGAATTGTGTATTATTTTGAGATACTATGCTTATTTAATTTTATCAAGCACAAATGACTTGTGAATAAAGTTGTTGGGTTTTTTTTTTTTAACACGTTCTCATGTCATTTATGCCATTTCAGACATAAAAGTTATTTCAAATGTTGTGCTTTGGAGTGAATCATGGCAAATCCTTTCATGCTGGAATACAAAGCCACCTACCCCTGAATGATAGCAATTTAATGTTTTTTGGTTTTTTTTAATTTTCATACTGATGAGAAATCATGGTTGTTAACTATTAGCGAGAAAATTGTGAGGCGCTGACCTGGCGTTAGAAATTTAATATATAGCAATCACTTGTCCTTCAAATGTGAAGGAGGGTCAATAAGCATCATGAGGAATGTTCATCATTACCTCCTCAAAGCATCTAGTTGTTTATAATAACACTGAAAATGGGAAACGAGTGGTTGAATAACAGATTTGTCATCAGTGGATCAACTGCTGTACTTTGTATGTTTCTTGAGGTTTTTTCACTCTGACCGCTGTGTTGATGTAAATACTGAAACATAATGTAGCTGTAGTCATTCTGTTTATCTTATTCCATTCTGCTTTCTTCGTGACCTCCTGGTTAATAGAGATTTATAGCACCCAAGAGGAGATTTAACAGCCTATGCAGGGTTCTTACACTGGTCTAGTAATGTGTGGAAAATGTGTTTGATAATTGCACAGTCTGTAAAAGTATGAAAACAAATGTTCAGTCCTGACACACGCGGCTGTACATTATTTGTTTATTTCACATCATTTCTCATATTAGCTCTTTATATCATTGTCCTTATGGCATATACAGCGGTTTTGTCATAATCAACAGGGGAATCTAGAAAAGAGAGACTGTGCAGGAACTCTATCAATTCCTTTATTGATGGTCCATGGTTGTGTTGTAACAGCCACTGTATCATTAACGGCTCCTCTTGATCTGTTCTGTAAATAGCCAGTTTTTACAGCAAAGCTATAGTAAAATGATAATATCTGTTGATGGAAAGCATAATTTGTTTTGTCAAAGCCGGAGCCAGGCTGAGAAATTACTGCTGGCAGCAAGATGCTAAAGTATACATGTAAATTGAGTGATGTTTAAAGGGTAAATGTAGAAGCAGAATAAGTCCCGGCAGGGTATAAGGTCTCACTGTGGCATATTGGCTAATGATAAAGTAATTCAGTATGCTGAAAGTATCTCTTATATGCATCTTTAGGCAATTTTTTTGATTATTTGTATGCTCTGCTGCAGGCCTATTGAGTTTGTAAAGATTGAAATGAACTGTTATTCAGGGCTTTGTATTGCTATAAGTGATCATCCTCAGCCAGTTACTTGTCAGCTAAGATCTAATTAGTCTAGCCTAAGGCTGCCCCGCTGTCTTGAGGCTGTTTATTCATTGTTGTAACAACAGCCAGTGGAATGTAAATCCAACCGTTTTGTCTATTTTGAATATGTTCATATACAGCTTGTCTTATCTGAAATTAGCTCGGTTAACGGATGACTGTTCAGCAAAGTAAAAATGCCTTTTGTTTCACGCCTGCCTCTGTTAAATTGTTTGTACTCAATAAAACTATTTTGAAATTCATTTCATTGTACCTTTTTTTTTTTTTTTTTCTAATGTATTAACAATTAAAAAGGTATTCATTAAAAATGGGCAGGTATAACTGTGGACATGAATTTTAAAATTCAGCAAAGTAGATTCAAATGTAATAAATACACCCCAAAGTGCATAGTTTCAGGAGTTTAAAGTTTATTCTCTCAAAATGTATTTGATATTTTCAGTCAACATTTCTGGATATTTTACATAGCTAGAGAGTACAAAATGCAGATTAAAAACCACTGAACATTAAAGGCAGGTAGGAAGGAGTGGAGAAATAAACAAAGTAGATGTGTGACAGAGTAGGTAGTGTAGATAGAGTGACCAATAAAAACAAGACTGAATACATGTGATACAGGTTTCCCAAACCATTTCGAGATGCATTAATAACAGAAAAATTGGACTACTCGTACTAGTAGCACATATGTGGGTTTTTCTGGCCCTCTGCACACGAAAACATCTGTATTTCTTGTTAAGATCATAGATTCAATAACTTTTATTCCTTTTGTCAATGTAAATAACCTAGACTGAGATCATCGTGATGCTACCTCTGTTCCTCTTGAACTGAACAGTCTCTTTTGTCTTTCTACACCCGACTTCCATCACTTCAATGAGGTCACTTGAGTTGGACTGTTGTTCAGGGAGCCCACAGTACAAGGCAAGACGGCAGTGTGAGAGTGTATGTGTGAGCCACCATCCTGGTGACAAATTAACATCTATAAATTCGCTACCATATACTGTACATACTCTATATTCCCTGTACGTGTAAATTGATTTAAAATGTCTTTTTCTATTATGGCTTGCTTGTTGAAACTCCTAAATGTACCAAATTCTCACTTCAGTCAATTCTTCCCATACATTCATATTAAAAAGACATCCCTCAGCTCCATGCTGCAACTGTATGATCCTCGCCTTAAATAGAGAGCATGCCTGGTCCTGTTGTGTGGTTTGGAAAAGCAGTTAAGATTCAGCTGACCCACAGCTTGTCCTAGACTTTGGCTGGTACCATAAAACCTTTTGAATAATGGTCCAGGCTCTTTTTTTCTGCTTTAACAAGAGCATCTGGTTTAAATTCCAGTTGACACTCAACATTTCTTGTAAATAAAAAATCTAGCTTGTGAGACCAGAGAGGTGTTTCATAAAGCTAGATTACCAGTTAAAGTAAGTTAGCATGCCTGACTAGCCTTGTTTTGGTCAGGTTAGTTTTCAGGTTTAGCTTCGCTTCAGGATTAATCAGTGTTACAATCAATCTGCCAAACTGAAACATAGTGTTGGCTTTAAAGTTCCTCCCTGGTGAAGGAGTTCCTCCTCGTTATGCTGTTCTGTGAACATGACGTTAGATGTCAAATTTAACATCCTTTGACACGGGCTGCACTTTCTGCATACTTAAAAACTGACTTCATACAACTTTGACCCATGCCTGTAGCCTCATAGTGAGCAGCATTTTCACCATATGTTATTTCTATAAATGGCTCTTAAATCAAATTAAAGAAACGTAAGAGGGGCAGGGAGCTAATCAGAAGGTCCAAATAAAGTAGGAAAGTCATACTAATAGAGAGGTTTAGTTTCTAAAAATGTGTCTTAATGTATATTTCAAAGTTGTTTAATGGTATCTTGCATCTTACACATCCATACATTTATTTTTACCCATAAATTCATGATTACTCGTAGAGCCTGTGCTCACTGACCCGCAACTTTCTGTCAGAAGATCTTTCTTTGTGTGCTTGTGGCAGTGGTTTTATTCATTTTTGCCGTAGTATTTTACTCTCCATATTATTATTGTTTAATATGTCAACACAAACATTGCAGTGTTGTCTTTACGTGTCCAGAAACAGATTACAGATTAATCCTTGTTCGATTTGTTAGACTCATTTCAAGTCAGGCTTTTCACAAAAAGACCTGCTTTTCTGAGCCACCTTTATGAAACAACGCTCATATGTATGCTAACAGAATATATTTTGTGTGTCACTACAAGCCAAAGTTGAAGACAAATAAGGCAGGTCAAGTTGGTCTTGATTGAAGGTTCAAAAATATCACAATAGCACCATATCAAACTATAGTAAAACATACTTCATGCATCTGTAGATATATAAACTGTATATGTATATATGCTAATGACTAGATATGAAATGTTCAATACATAAGTGTTGAATATATTTCAAGTTCACAGAAATAACTACTGCCACAGTTCAGTTGGGAATACAGTCCGACTAGATCTATATTCACAACTAACTGATAGTGGTGTCTCATGGCTGCTCGTATGTCATCAGTTACCGATTTTAAAATCTCAACAGTCAAACCCCTCACCATGCATAATGCATTTAGTTTGCATGCCTGCAATTACACTTAGTGTGTATGCACTGTACAGCACTGCACTACGGTTTGTTCATCACCAAGTCTTTACACTGCATTTTACAAAGCTTTTTAAAGCCTGTTAAATTCACTCTGGTTTTATAAGTAGCATTTAGTGCTCCAAATTCAAACAGCACAGTATTACAGTTCACAACCATTGTATAAGGCAAATTAATTAAAAGTACTCTGAGTCACCCTATGTTCATTACAGGCCTTCATATCGTACAAGGCTATATCAAAGCATGCCATACTAAAGCAAACAATTGCAGCAAAAGTAACAAAAAAGTTTAACAAACATTCTTTGGTTGAGTGTGAAAGTAGCGTTCCTGTGCTTTAATTTAATGCTTTGAATTTGGCATTTGTTAAAAAGAACACAAAGAAAAAAAGTGGCCCTTTGCAATGATACACTGGCTTAAATACAGGCAAAAGAGTGATGGCTTTAACCTAAACTACAATATTTTTGTAAATTCTCGCAAAATAATATAAAAAATCTAGTGATAAAAAGCTTGCTCTGACTGATACTACTTTCTCTTTCCAGGTTGTCTAGGCAACCACCCCCCTCCCAATGGCCTTCCCATCTCCTTTCACTTCTTCTTGGCAAAGCGACTGAACTTCTTCTCCTTGTCTTTCTTGGCAGAGCTGGGCTCAGGGAGGGCACTTGAGGAGGAGGGAGCGGGCAGGCTGTGGGCTTTGGCCCCCGAGGGCCCCGACGCCTCCTCCGCTGCCAGGGGCTGAACGGCCTTCTCCATGGCCTGGCTCCAACGCTGGAGCTCCTCCTAAAATTAAACACAGAAACACACACCACTGCGGCTTACAAAGAGATGTCCAACTAAAGAGAGGGCAGTGTGTGTTTTTGTATTTTGGTCTACTTGAATAAATAAACAAATGGAAGTGGTCATGCATTAACTTTGTGAGGCTAAATCAGGGTAGATGAAAACAACATTGCTACAAATTATTTTATTTTGTAAAACTTAATGATCCCTGCAGGATAAATCTCTCGCTGGAGAAACAGAGGGAAGCATGAACACCCTCATTTATGCCAGCTACTTACATACAAAAACCTTGCCAAATTACTTACACATGGGCAGACATGTCAAACTCAAAAAGCTTATAAAATCAAACATATATGTACTGTATGCAGAATTACACCCTGGGACCACTGCTTTACACAGGGTCAAAGATTATACAAGTTCAGGCCAAGCCCAGAGCATTCAGTCTCACGTGATACATGCAGAGCTGTTGAAAGTTATTTGTCATTTATGTCTCTGTGGTCAAAAACTCACCTCGTCTTTACACTGGAACAAATATTCACTGCCATCTCCAAGGCTGTGAGCGAGAAAGGAAAGTGAAGTTAAAATTTATTAAATGGTTATTTTATGTATTTTTACCATTAGAGTAAAATGAAGAGTAGTAATATACTAGTTTCCTCAGTTTCAGTACTATAAGCAACTGAGATCTATCTAACTTTCTAAACATTTCACAACAAATGTGGTACTTCTTTTTTCACACAGGCAGCAGGCATCTCTCAGCAGTTATTAGCAAAGTGAGTGCTGTTAGCTTAGCTTAGCCTACATACCTAAAACAGGGGAAAACAGCTAGTGTGGCTCTGTCCAAAGGTTAAAAAATCCACCTACCAGCCCCACTAAAGCTCACTATTTGAATTGTTATATCTCATCTGTTTAATCCATACAGAAACCAAAAACAGCAGGTTGTGGTTTTTATCTGGAATCTCCACCGGTCACTTGGAAACAGTGATGAAGTTAGAAGAAGTCACTGCACCCAGCCAACAATGATAATAAACTTTATTTATATAGGATCTCTCCTACACAAAATAAAAAAGAAATTCACATAATGCCCCATAAAACTACACTTGATCGTCTCATCTAACTCTAGGCAAGAAAGCAAATAAGCTTATTTTTCAAAATTTCAAACTATTTGTTTTAATAGTGAGACATTTCTCAAAACCTGAAGATGGACAGGATTCTCACCGTAGTTTGGAGACGTGCTTCTTTTTCTTGTAGTTTGTGAGAATCTCCCAACTGGCGTTGCTGAGGGACAAGGGGTCTTCGCCGTGATACGTCACCCCATGGCTAAAACTCTTGGCATCCTTATAGGCTGAGAGCTGGCCCGGCTTCAGCACACAGTACAAGTTGTTCCATGACCTGACAGGGAGAGGAAGGGGTAGGAAATGAAGGGGTTAAATATTGATCATTGTAGGTAGCTCATTTCTGGCAATAATGTAGAATCAATTTTATTTAATCCCAATTAACAAGAGCCACAACAACATCACCACTCCATTAAGACTTAATTCAGCTAATTAGAAATAAGGAAAGCAGTTGGCGCAGCTCACTTCTCAGCTCACTTCGCTGAAGAACCCAGCCAGATCCTCTGCTGTCATGAGGTAAGGGTATTTTCTGGAATTGCTGATGTATGTGCACAAAGACCACTGAAAGCTATGAATGTACAGCATCTACATACTGTATGCCACTGTAAGATTTAAATTAGCTCCTTGTTGAGCTGTGCATGTCTAAAATTTCAAATCTCTCTAAAATACAAACTACTTGCATTTTTGCATGGCCGGGTGCAGTGATTTTCTCTAACTGTCACTACAAATTATAAGTGAATGTTAACTATAA